GGGAGATACGAGTGAGAGGTGAGTTTAACAGGAAGTTTTACAATGTTTAGTTAGATATCGAGATGAAGATCGAGGTGACAGTAGAGGTCGAGGCAGTGGCTTTTACGAGCGTGGTAGCGGTGGTGCTGGATTCCTCGATCGAGGAGGACGAGGTGGTGGTTTCCAGGGTAGTAGAGGTACTTGGCAAATGAACCCGCCTGCGCTGTCCCACTGGTGCGTTCCATACATTAGATTTCGGTTTGTTTTAAGGATTTTAAGCCATTCATACTCATCTAGTGCTACCGAAGTGAATTAACGAGTTGTTAGTTGAGTTTTCAGGCAGTTGTAGCCAAATGCCTTTTTTTTCGCACTTATTATTTTACCCTAAAAGAAACCTGTTAGCCGGCTGTGTTTGGATAAAGTGAAGGAATTTGGAAATGTACATAATTGCTCTTCACAACTGCCCCATTTTATTGAGATTTTTCAGCATTACTTCGAAATATTTTTTAGAATTTGTCTCAATGTAAGTAATTTCACTGGTACTTGGTGTTTGTAAATGTGTTCATTAAAGTTTTCTGATTGCACTGGTTGATTGCATAGTTTGGCTTCGATGAAGGTTAGCTCGTTTACTTAGTGTTCTGCGAAGTGTGGGTGTGTGGATGGGTGTACTCGTTTTATTGGTTGGCTTGTAGTATCACCTTACAATGAGGAGGATCTTATTAACCTTTGGCCGGTGTTGTACTTTAGGGAGAGATCAATGTCTCAGAACAGGGGAGATGTTGATGTGGCAGATCAGCAGCTCACCACTACGCCACCAGCTGTTACTGGCGTCTGGAGAACAACTCCTGGGCCGAGGTGAGATCTTAACGGATTTTGGGTTATTGCATTAAAGTCAGTTAAGGGATTTGGAACAACAAGTAAATGGATTGTAGCACCTCCGCTCCCGGGCGTTGGAGGAAGGTGGTTTTCCTACACTCAAAGGGCACGAAAGAGCTCAGCTATCTGTTTTTCTTCTCACAGTTGCGAACGGTGCTGATCATTCAGTACTGTGGCTATCCATTAAAAGTGACGCGGACACCTTTAGTTCCCTTATGTCAATATACGCAAGAGCTGTTTTATTTCAATTGTAGGGGGTCGAATAGACCGCAAGCGGCATCGTGAGTGTCCGTTCAGCACGCTTAACTTCAACCTTTAAGATTACTCATATTTGCGTAGAGTGGGTCCTGATGGATTCGCTTGATTCAAATGTTGTTGCTTTTGTAGATCAAGTAAAACGAGAGAAAAGAGGAGGTTCCCCTCCCGTCCTGGTAGGGGAACAGCTGGGAAAAGAGTCTCGGTTGAAGTGAATTGCTGGGATTTTGATGTATCAGACGTGTCGGTGTTACAGTACACCATAACGCCGACGAAATTATTAAACGCTGAGGGAAAAGTGCTCATCAACGAAGAAAAGGGCCTGTGGAAGTTTGTAAAAGATGCTATGAAGGGGTGAGTGTATCGTGGTTGAGGAAGCCACTTTGATTTATGCCTCCATTTTGACATGCGCATTGACAAACTCATAAGCACGTTCTCATAACGAAATTAACAAATATAGCACATGGCCTGGCAGTGAAATAGCTGCGACACAAATTGCGCCAGAATTTGATGCCGCTTTTTTGATACTGTGTAGATGTAGCATTGAGGCACTTCTAACGTGTGAATGTACCCTGTTATTTAGGATAAGAGGTGACGTTTTTTACGACGGTGGTCAGCATTTGTACTCTCTGGAACCCTTAGAGGGGGAGGAGGGAGGCCAAGCGACTTGTAGTGCGAAGGTTTCAAGGCATCCTCAAAATGATGATTTGACGATAGAGTACACAGTGAGAAGAGTGAGCAGTGTTTCTATCGGACTTATCGGTGAATATCTCGCAAATAGACATTCGAAGACTTCAGAACTACCACAATCTGCCATTAATATACTGAACAACCTAATCAAGTGGCTTAATAAAGACTCGTTCCCTAACCTTTTAAAGTCAGCAATTTTCAGCAATGCTGAACTAAAGAGGTACACCGAAGGTCTTTTCTGGATTTACCGTGGGTATTCGCTTAGCTTTCGCCCGCAATGGAAGTGCCGGCTGAACATAGACATAGTGAGTGGAATTACACATCGCGTGGAGGCTGTTGTGTGGACATAAGTTTATTAATAATGGTGTGTCTGTTTTTAGGCCCATAGGGCTTTTTTCCCGGCTGGAAACTTGGCGGATATTTTACATGCGAAGTACGGCAGTGTTTTGCATTCTAAACCAACGTGGAAGCATGTGAAAGAGGAAATAAAGTCACTCTATGTTGAGGCCGGCCATTATAGGAATAAGGGTAATTTTCTCTTAATTTGTGGCATTGTTTGGGCCAAGTGTGCCGTTGTGGTCATTTATTGGAGCTCCATGTCGTGGGACCTTCCAAAGCTTCTTTTTGTGCTCAACGTGTTCATTTGCATTGTGCATAATCATAGTTGTTGCAATTGAAAGTGTCCTACAACTGCACCTAACGGTGTTTCTGATAGCTCTTGATTGTGGTTCGAATTTTAATGCAGTTTCAGGCAAAACCTACAGGAAACGTCTTGTGGTGCACGGGTTGTCGGATAATACGGCTGACAGGGAAATGATCTCAGATCGCAATCAGTCCGTTGCGGAATACTTCAAGGAGCGATATGGCATAGACCTGAAATATCCCGAACTTCCATGTGTGAAGGTGAGTGTGCATGGCTGTGCTGAAGTGAACTGCTTTTACTGTGATGTGAATACCCATGCACTTT